AATTAAAAATTCTAATCGAAAAAAATAAAAAAAAATATAGAAAGACGTAATTGAGATAACCTACGACTATTTATACATTAGAGTAAGTTAAAATATAAAATAAAATTAAAATTTACTTAAGTTATTAAAGATATATCTATATTATATTAAAAGGAGAGTAGTGAAGCATGTGGTTAAACCAAGTTGCAAGCTAAAAAGAAGTCACTTGGCAATTTAAAGACAACATTAAAAATTTGAATCATAAATGGAAACATAATTAATGGAAGTAGTTAATGAATCTTATACTTAATCTAAATAGATCTTAGACAAATTTAATCTATATATCTACATTTAAATTTATATTTATAAGTATATTTATATCTATATTGATTCACCCATAGATTATTTTTTTTATTAGCTAGAGATATTGGAGGTAAAAATTAATTAAAAACTCTTATCTAAAAAAATAAAAAAATATAGAAAGACGTAATTGAGATAACCTGTGACTATTTATACATTAGATTAAGTTAAAATATAAAATAAAATTAAAATTTACTTAAGTTATTAAAGATATATTGAGTTTAAAAATTAAATAAATTCAAGCAGCAAAATAAGATCTTAAATAAAGTATATAAATTATTTATAAGGTAATAAAAAACTTAAATAATCAGTAAAAAAATATTTGAAAAATAAGAATAATAAAGTCATATTAATATTGATAAATCGGGAAAACGATTATTTTATACGTAAATATTACTACAACATTCAAATATAATGTGTTCAAACAATTAAGAAAATATTTTTTATTTAATATTTGAATTGAGTACAGTAAGTTTAAGTTTGAAAGTATAACATAATTCTTTAAAAATGTAGTCAAATATAGAAAATAGAATAATAAAACTTATTTGAATTTGAGAAAGTTTTTTAATTTTTATCTATATTATATTAGAATGAATGTAGTAGAAATAAATATTAAATTCAAACAAGCTAATAAAAATCCACATGACAATGTAATAATATTAGGTATTTAATAATATAATATCCAAAATAAATAATAAATAGAGAAAAAATAAAAATTCAGATTTTTTATCATAGAGAAGCAGGGTAAAACTTATTTAAATTTGAGATGGGAAATTTTTTTATATTATGATAAGAAAATTCATAATATGGATAAGTCCACGTAACTCAAGTCTAATGGATAAAATCAAAAACTAAAAATATTGAATAATAAAAATAAATTAGAGATAATATGACATATTTATAAATCATAAGTTTAAAATATAAAATAAATTAAATATACAATGCTTAAAATCTTATTAAAATTTAAATAATTTAAAATTTTCGAGCAATATTTTTAAACTAAAATAAATATTTATTTTATGATTAGAAATTATATATTTATCTATATTATATTAAAGAATAGTAGATTATAATGATATTAAAAAAATTATAAGTTAATGAAAAGCCACATAAAACGTAATAAAACTATATGATAGATTAAAAATTAGCAAAATTATTAAAAAATTATTATTAGAAATGAAAGGGAAAGGCTATTTGAATTTGAAATTAGAAATTTGTTAAAACTACGATTAGAATGTCCAAACTATGGATAATATCACGAAATTGAAGTCTTATTTATGAAAAAATATTAAAATAGAAAATAAATTTCTAATATAGGTAATTTTACTAATAAAAATTAAAGATTAAATTTGTATTAAATCTAAAAAAGAAAGAAAATTTACTTAAGAAATGAAATGATAATGAAAATATTACTACAACATTAACATATAATGTTTTCAAACAACAAAGAAAATATTTTTCTATGATTAATATCTGAATTGAGTGCAGTTAGTTTAAGTTTGAATATATAGTATAATATTTTAAAAATGCGGTCCAATTTAGAAAATAGAATGATAAGAATTATTTGAATTTGAGATGAGTTTTTTTTATTTCATAAGTTTTTATTTTTAAAATATTATGTAAAGAAATAAAATGATAATAAACATATTACTACATATATATAATATGTTCAAACAATTAAGAAATTATTTTTCTATGATTAAAATAAAATTTTAATAATATAAATAACTTTCTAATATAGGTAATTTTACTAATGAAAATTAAAAATTAAATTTGTATCTTAAAGTTAAAAAAAATAACTGCATCTAATACAAAAATAGTTATAAGAGAACTCAATATATTTGTAACATAATCATCAAATATATGTATTAATATTTTAGACTAATTCAATTTTACAATTTAAAATAAAATATGATATTATTCTGGTTAAAGGTAAAAAATTAATATAAAAATAATTAAAATTTATAGTAGGGAAGAGAATGTAGTAAAACAATAGAGATAGTGTGAGGATACTTATACATTAAATTAATTTAAAAATAAATAAATTAAAAAATTTACTTATATTTAAAAATATTACAATAAGTTTAAATGATTAAAAAAAATTGAATGCATAAAAATATACCAAATTTCAAGAATAAAATATTTATAGTTATTAAAGACTATTAAAAGAATAATAAGAAAGATATTAATTAAGATAATAAAAAATTATATGATAGTAAAATAATTTTAAATAATAAATAATACAATAACTATAAGAAAAAAAAAAGAATTTGCATAAAAATAATGTGATGAATAAGACATATTTAACTTTTAGATAAAAACAAAGTGATAGTAAGAAGTTTGTTAAAATAATATGATCTAATGTGCTCAAATAAGACAGATCGCAACATGATATGTTTAATATTCTTTGATACTGACAACAAAACGAAGTGCAAGTACTAAAATCAAATAGTTAGGTTGCTACAAATAAAAAACAAAATAGGTTGTGCACTACGAGATTTGAACAATAATTTCATATCCTACTTCATAATTAATATCTAATGTTATATAATTTTTATTTGAGAGGTTTATATTTTAAGGTTATTTGCACATGATTCAAATAACCAACATCACAGTTTAACATGATTTGTGTCCGCGCATCGCGCGGGTACTAATACTAATCGTATTTAAGTTAAAGATACTTACGGCATAATTTTTTTTAACACGTTTAGTATGGCTTTATCGTTATAGTAAGTTCATTATCTTTTTATTGAATTATCTGTCTGACATATACTGATAAACAAGTACTCTTTAAATTTAAATATTCGATACGACATCCAATAGCTTGATCTCATTTGAAATAAATAGTGCAGTAGCATATAATGAATGCACAACTACAGTCAAACCTCTCTATAACAATCTCGTTGTTTTGAATATTATTGAATGTTATAACAAATTATTGTTATAGAAAACACATATTATAATAAAATATGAGATTTGATTCCAAAATAATTTAACTTTTATAAAGAAATACCGTTACATAATATGTTGTTGTTATAGAAAGGTGTGACGGTACTTAAATATTATAGTTATAGTCGATTTCCTAAAGTACCAACTATAGGTTTGAGCCGCTCCAACCTTCATAATAATTAATTGGCCCCACCATTGCTATCCCAAATCAAATTTAGTGGTCATTTAAAGTAAAGCACCTTTAGGTCAATTAAACTATAGCTCAAAGTTTTTGACTATTATTAAAACAATGTCATTTTCATGATATGAAAAATTATTTAAAGTAAGTCTAGACACAGAAAGTGGTCCATTTTCTGATTTGGCGGTGATATTAACTCAAATAGAAATTATTTAATTTTTTGACTTTTAAGTATGGGCCAAGTATTTGTAGTTTTGGTTTGTGACATTCTCAACACGCACAAAATCTTTAATTATAGTTTAGAAAGGCTTCCCTCTTGTCAATTTTCAACTAAAAAACACCATCCGACCATTGAACTCATACTATAGCTATTATTGTCTCTTAGGAAAATAAAAATAAAAAAGACAGAATGAAATTTGATTATCCACCGCTAAGCATGAGTATAAAGAAATAATATTTGTTACGATTCCCTCGACAGAGACGTGTCGAGGTTGATGATTAGGGTTGTGGGCTGACAGGTAGTCGAGAGTCTTTTCTAGTCGTATTAGTAGTTTTAGTACTAGTCTTGTATTCTCCTATTCCGAGTTCCTTGCTGACTAGACGATGTGGCATTATTGCCAGTAGTTTTTGCACATCTCGTATAGCTTCGTATTCCTAGTTTCTTTGCTATTACATATTGTGCTATTTGTTTCTTTTATCGTGTTTCCTTGCCATTGTTAATGTTTATTTATTGTGTTCTTTTCACTGTTCTTAAACCGATGGTCTATCGGAAATAACCTCCCTTCCTTCATAAGGTAATGGTAAGGTCTGCTTACACACTATTCCCCAGACCCCGCGCGTGAGATTGCACTGATTTTGTTGTTGTTGTTGTTGTACAATTCCCCCTTTTCCTATACCAAATTACCAATTAGGGATCGTTTAATAGGATGTATAATAATAATACTGAATAAGGTGTATTAGTAATGGTAAAATTAGTAAGTTGTAGCTCATTACTGTTTCATTTGGTGCTTTAAAGATTTTGAAAGGGCAGTTATATCTTTATATATGATTATCCATATATTAAAAACTATGATTTGCTCTATATAAGAATAGTATGGTTAAATACTACCAAACAAAAATAATAAAAACAAAGCTAATACATATATTATTTTTCTGAATACATCCTACCAAATGAGTAACACTAACAAAGAACAACAATAATACAAATGTTTATTACATAGGTTCAAAAGAATAATGATTCACTTTATTGAATTAACATTTTCACCTAGTTTAACAAGAAAATAAACCAGATAAATTAACTTCAAACTCACTATATAAGCTTCCGCATATAATATTTATATTAATTGAATAATTTAATTTTATCAATTAAGAATTGAAGTAAAAATAGATATCTCTTAATCACATAATTAAAGATAACTTTTTATAGTAAATACTATCCAAATATTATTTCAAATATAATTTATATTTTATTAAAAAGAGAATAAAAAGCAGTAAATGAAATAATAAGAGTAGTTAAAAAAGAAACCGAAATGAAGGAACCCCAGTGGTCCTACCCATCAAACCCACCGGCTAATACAGTCGTCGTTTCCATATCAACAACGTTTTGATCAAATATCTTAAAACTATTTCCAATAACAATTAATCCCCATTTTCATCTTCATTCAATAATCGGAAGCTTCGTATTCATCTTCATAATTTGTATATACAAAAACTCAATTCAGAAAAGGATTATCGGATCTCGTTTAGTTGAATTGGAAATTGTGGATGGCGAATTTGTACGTAACGGCGGTGCCGACGACGGATCTGAATCGGAACACCGAGTGGTTCACGTATCCAGGTGTATGGACTACGTACATCCTGATTCTATTCTTTTCATGGCTCGTTGTTCTCTCCGTCTTTGGTTGCTCTCCTGGCATGGCTTGGACCATTGTTCATCTCTCTCATTTTCTCGTACGCCTCTTTCTCTACCTT